GAGTGGGGGGGGGGGGGAGGCCCTGGCTCGGCCGCGGCGGGCCCTGCCCCGGTTCCTTCCCCGGGATGGCGGGGAGCGGAGCTCCGCCGCCGCCCCCTAGGCCTGGACCGAGGGGCGCCTGTCACCCCCTGGGGCCGGGGGCTGCCCCTTCTTCCTGCTCGCCCGGGCCGGTGGCCGCCGCCGGGAAGGGCCGTGGCCGGGCCCCGGGGGCTGCAGCGTGGCCCGGGGGCTCTCTGGAAATACCCCCCCGGCCGCCCCATTCATCGGCCGCGCCGCTCAACCCTCCTCCCTCGCCGCCCTCGATTCTTTCTTTTTATAAATCAGGGTTCGGGTTCTGTTTTTTTTTTTTTTTTTTTTTTTTTTTTTTTTTTTCTTTTCGCCGTAGGCAGCACCCAGGTTTGTTGGTCGTGGGGGGGGAAGATGGTTTTCAGAGGAGGAAGTGGAGAAGGATGAAGGTTTTTAAAGTCTTTCCGAAGTTTGGCTTGTAGCTAACTCGTGTTAAAGTTTGACAATCGATTTTTTTTATTTTATTATTTATTTTATTTTTTTTATGGGCGGCAACCGGTATATGGATGAAAGAAACTGCAGTGGAATTTAGGCAATAAAACGGGTTTTTAGAAGAGGATTAGGACGGCGTGGAGTCCAAATACCGCCAAAGTGTGCACAATTTAGTTACATCTTAAAGACCCTGTTTCGGCTTTGACGCGGTGTTGCAGGCACCTCGTGTTTCGAAGGACCTGGGGTGAAATTGAAAATGACGGAATTACGTTAGTGAGCAGCTTTGGTGGATTTATTCAGAAGATTCTGTAATCTGGGTCGAGCACTTTATTGTTTTCTTTTCAAAACGTCAGTTTTGTCTGAAAAAAAACACCTTACCTCGTCTTTGAAAGAGGCTTAGACTACTAGTTTGGATCCTTCCAGAGATCAGAAGTAAGATGAGTACTGTAGTCTTTTTAGAGTAACAGCACTCTTAGGGCTCTGTAAACTTCTGCCACTGAAGTGGGGGGGATGTGTGTGGTCTCCTGTCACTTCTTTTTTTCGAAAGATTTTGTGAAAGCAAAATAAATCTGTGAAATGAGAAATCCCTGAATACAGGCAGCCTATCATGAGACGTGCAGCTTCAGTTAGAGTTTGTTGCATCTCCTTTTTAATCCTAAAGCTTATTTCTGCTTTGATAAGAGTCAGTCCTGCTTGGGAGATGGTATGGCCTTGTACTAAGTGTGTAGTTTTTGTTGTGTTATGTGATGGGAAAGTAGTAGCCTTGTTGCTGGCTCGCTCATCGTCCTTTGCATTGAGGATGGCTCGTGTGGTTACAAGCCAAACTGAATCAAGGAGCCTGTCTGTGTTTAAAACTGGCTGGTTTGGGTTTTTTTTTTTTCCTGGGCTCAGTGCAAGGTTGTGTGAGTATTTGTGTGGAGAGGAGGAACAAGGAAAGAGTAAGTTTCTTCGGAGAAAATGCTGGCTCAGCACATACGAGTTGGATAAAGCTTCGCAATTTGGTTCAGGTCAGAAAAGAGAAGGGTGTGCCCCAGTCCAAGGAGGTTTCTGTAGACTGGAGCAATTTTAATTTTGTCCTTTTTTTAACTGAAAATCTTCCATAAAAATACAGGAGTTTCACATACTGGGTAGGCTCAAAGTTATTATGGCATTTTGGTGTCTTCCTGTGCCCTGCCAGGATGAGCTGGTGATGTGTAGTCTGGTATTAAGGCTGCCCTGTGATTAGGTGTATTTGTAACGCGTGATGCCTAGAAAAGGCTTGAAGCTGGTTTTCATCACGCTGAAAATTTGGCTAATGAGCTACTTGTCTGCCTTGTTATGGATAATGACCCTGTTTTTTTTTTTTAGTGAAGTTTTGATTACGTGTTTAACTTGAATTAGTGAGGCATCTTTTTAGGAAGTCCCATTTATCAGTGCAAGTCCAAAGAAACATTACTTCCCTGCTCCTCTGCCTTCACTCCACCTCTCTTCCTGCAGCCTCTGCTTGGTCTACGCCTTCTTTCCAGGAGACTGTAACCCTTCATTATGCCCTATCCTCTGCTGACTCTTCCTTTGGTGGCTGAACAGCAGCAAGAGAAGCCTGGGCAGCTGGTTTCCCAATGGGAGCTCTGGGCCAGCTAACAAGGTGGTCTGGCTCCCTGGCCCGGGGTTGCCACATGCCGTCTGCTGGCCCGGGCAGACCATGGAGTTGTTCTTTAGAGCGTGCCTGAATGAGATCTTCTTTTCAGCAGATGCCTTTGGGAACCAGCCCAAGTGGTATTGAAAGGATGCATTACCCTTCAGATAGATACTTACTGGTCCGTAGGCTGTTTATAGAAATATAAAATCATTCACGTTCTGATTTTCATGGAGATAGTAAACACAGGAGTTAAATATACGAGGCTGTTACCTACTTGTTAGCAAAGCGTAAAATGAAAAAAGCAAACTGATTTTGTGTGTGTTTGAAGTTCCTGAGGCCTCATTTCTTTGCCATTTTTAAGAAGTGTGCCTATAACACAAATGGTAAATGTTAAGATCTTGTGAAAGCTACACCAAGCTGCCTGGCTTTCCGTAGCTAAAGGCAGTAATTAACTTTCAGAGGTTTTTTTGTTTGTTTTGTAGTAAACATCTTACCTGATCAGTAAATTTCTTTTGGGTATGGATTTGCTTGCAAGCCAGCATTTCCACTTCCCTGACAAATCCTGAGTTCAGAAGCACGTGCACTTTGCCTTTGTGTGTTGCAACACACTAACTGGACTAACCTCTTCCAGTCACTTTACAGGTATGTGGAGGTTCTGAAGGAAACATTTTTCCATTTGAAAGGCATGTTACAGTTTAGTGTTCCTGTAGTACAAAGGGAAAGGGATCTGCATGATTAGGTCGAATTAAAAAGAAAACACCCACAGGATTATAGATCACCATTCTGCTTAAACTCACGCTTTCATTAAAAAGAAAGTTTCTGGCTTATATTGTTCTTACAGTTTTAAATTTGCTGTTAAGCCTGCAGGTGGATATTCCTGTTTGTCTGGTCAAAGGTTTTGTGAAATTTAGGAAAAAAAAGTGTATCTCTACATGTTTTCCCTTTTTTTTTTTTTTTTGATCCACTTGAAAATTTATAATTGAGTCCGTATCATTCTTTTGGACATATGTAATCTCTAGGCAGTCCAGAGATTACCCGAGAAGAATTCAGGTGGAGGCAAAGGAAAGGGTAGAAAAGCAAACACAGGAGTCGAAGTAATGGAGAAGTTGATTTTTTTTGGTACCCAGAAGTCTGGATGCACTATCAAGTAATGAAAAAAGCAGTTTACTCCATTTTTTCCCTCCTGTTATAGTGTAAGTATAAAACTAGTCGTTGCAGGAAGTAGGATTGACTGATTTTTTTTTTATTATTATTATTAAATACAACTGATGTACATTCCTGGCATTTTGCCAACCTGTTCAGCCAGTGTATCTATTCATATATGATTCATCAAATATGTTCGGTTTTATTTCACAAATCCCAGAGACAATAGTCGGTTAACTTTTGTTTGGCTGTAGAAGCTAAATATATTGAAAATGTATTGAAGAAATATTAAACATAAAGCCGTTGGAAGGTGCCAGATATTAAGTGGAAGAGTTTTTCAGTTCCTTTAAGCAGCAGAGGATCAAGTTCTTGGAGTCCTGATGTTCTGGCAGAGTATGGTGGTGCAAATACTTCTCACTGTAGCTGGTGGGCTTAGCTTCTAGTTGAATATGGTTTGAGCAGGGAGAAAAAAGTCCCAAGTGTTTAAGAAGTGAAACAAGGTTGTATTTTATGATGCAAACAAACAGTTCAAGTCGGGAACTAAGTTCAGGGCTTGTTTAAATAGTTTTACTGATTTACAGCTCTGGTACATACTGTAGAAGTAGCGTACTGAAGAAGCCAGCTGCCGTGCTGATGTGGGCTTGTGTATATTACATGGTATGCAGATCAGAGTTTCTCAGTTTGTTGAGGACTGGTGGTTATCTGTGGTCTTCGTGATGTCTGGAGAGCCATTCATCTTTCATCTCTGTATCAGTTACCTGATGTGCTAGACAGGCTTGATGAGGCATGGCCAGAACCTGTGTCCTCCAGGGGGGCATTACAATAACCAAAGTGTCTGCAAGTGTCCTCCAGGGGGGCATTACAATAACCAAGGTGTCTGCTGCGAGAGAGAGGTTTGAATTTCACCTTTAGTTGGTCATTCCTATCATAGTGCTGCTGTGCTTGAAGGTGTTTTTGAGCTGGTCTTCCTTCCCATACTGGCTTTGACAAGTGTTCTACTAAAAGATACAGGAACTTCCGAATGATAAAAAAGCCTGTTGAACTGCATCTCTTCAATGCCTCTGCTGTAAATACGCCAAGTCCCTCCTGTTGGGGCATCTTACTCTTTCTTCATTCCAGAATCTGCTCCCTGTCCCTCCACTTCAAACTAGACAGACCTGTGCTTCTCCTTCGCTAATACTTTCACCAGCACCAGTCCTTTAAAAGTCATGTTCTGTCTCATAGAAGTTCAGGTGCCTGACTTTAAGGTTGCTGAAGTGGCAGACTTGGAAATCTCTTAAGTGATCTTGATTCAAGATTAAAGGCTGATTTCCAGAATTTCACTTTTATCAGTAACCAAGTAAATTAGCACATTTTGTATGCA